GACGAGATATATTGGCTATTCACTACAGGCCAATCAACTTCATGTTATCTAGTCCTGAGTACTGACCAAATTCCACTGATCATTGTTCTAGCTCGGAAATTTTGAGGAAGCTGCAGTACATCTGTTGTTAACGGAGAGAATTGGCTATGAAGGCGAAAGACTTGTGTAGTACTGGAAGTGTGTAATTAGTTGGTACTTGTCAGCTGTCTACATCATGAAAGTTTCTATTGTTGAGGTACCTCGCACCGAAGATGATTAAGTTATGAATCACTACCAAGCTCAATGGATATCCGTTTGATGCCTATCACACACAACTTTATTATGAGTTTGAGACTTAGGATTGATTATCTTGTTTTTCCGCATACAAACACATACTGTGCGCACCGAAAGACTGCAGGCTAGGAAGAAACTTCCTATTTTAACGACCGACATTTACAAATTCATCCTTACGGTAGGAGAGACAGAATCAGCTCGAAATCTTGGTAATCCGTTGGAAACACCGTTCTGCTGTTACACCCTGCACAACCACTTGTTCACTTTCAGTCCCACGCCAATACATAAGCTATTTAAACTATGATGGTGTATGAATTTAGCCTTATCGCTATCCGACTGACCTTTCTGGTACGCTGGGACCTCAAGGAACAATTGTTCCAACCGGTTTAACCTTTTGAGTTATGGTTAGATACAATCCCGAGAACGCTGTCAGTCGGGAAGTCAATCATTTGTTTCTAGTGTCGGATTGGACATTGTACATGGTTCACAAAACGACTCCATATAACCTAATGATAAGAGGAGTCTCATGATAATTATGATGTATCTCCAGCTGTGAGTGTAGTTTACAACTCTGTCACACTTTGTAAGGCGATAAGGTGTACAGTACACATAGAATTTGATTTGTAAGGATTATTCTAACAATGCATTACTGCTGACAATTATTTCCACACCATTCTGAGAATTTTCCTACGTATACCTTAATCTATCAACTTCATTATGCACTCCAGAAGATTTAGTTGACCAGTGAACGTGTGATTCCACTGTTTCACGAAAAACAACGAAATTGTGTATTGTTTGCAAAATCATTGTGAAGCTGGTGGAGTATGAGAATAGATAGAATCGTTGTTCATGACTAATGAGAACAGTTATATGCATGCAGACACATGCATCATTAATTGAAGGAATCAAGTGTCATATATTCCACTGATGTCCAATATCGGAAAGAACCAAGAGAGATAGATGAAATTCTTATTATTTCTCAAAGACCCTCTTTATCTACAAGAGAGACAGCAGAAAGCTCATATTGCTTATTTGCTGATGGTATAGTGGTAAATAGCAGGTAGAGATGACTATGAAACCGATATGCCTAGTCGTAGACCGTCGTACCATTTGATCGCTACAGTAAACAGAAGAATAATTGACTTGCGCTATGTATTACTGGCAGTGAAAAGATGAAAATCTTCTTTCTTATGAATGGGATTACCAAAACACCATACCGTTTATGAAATCAAAAGTCTGACATGGAAATCTTTGATAAGTACGAAGAATTAGAATAATGACTGATAGGCAATCTAATTTTCAACTTATCATGACGCTTGAAATGAAGTGCTACCCATATCAACTTATGTCTATGGTATGATGACGAGTATTCTCCGTATGTATAAAAATGTGACGTGGAGTCCATATCCTTCTACTGTTTTCTTCTTCTTCTTCTCACTAAGCTACTTACAAGTAGTTCATCAGGATACTAAAATATTTTGTGCACTAAACTGATAAATGAATACTTTCTGTTTACTAAGTTGAGTTGGGATTCATCGATTCAAGCAGTTGACTTTCAACTAAATGGTTCATGCATTACAAAACATCTCTCCAGCTATCGAGGGTTTTGGCAGTGAGGTAGCAGCTACAATAGATGTGGCTGATTGCCTACTGCACGAATGTGTACAAGATTACTAAGACCACTTACTCCTATTTCACATTCTCACTTTATCAATATACGAAAATGTAATCAAATTATGTATATTAATCAGTTGTAGGGACTAACAATTTAAATATATAAAGAGCCATTAATCTTCATTGTAGAAAAATCTTATATTCTCAAATGATCTGTGTTACACTTTGAATAAATTTGAAGGATTTTTCAACGGAAAATGGATTGGTCAAGTATTCAGCTGTAAATGACTCATCGAAGTGTATCGATCAACTGACGATCATCAAACTCAATAAGAGCAATGCTACATCTTGAACCAATCAATAAGACGCTGTGTGTGATGAACTATCTCTCATCAGCAAGAAGCGTCTGTACAACTTATTCCTTGAAGAATCTATTTGGCTTCATTCACAACAAGTATGGGGTAAAGGTTCTTGGATTCTTACTGACTGATTCATAATTAACTTAATAACATTGACATGAATAAAAAGAGAATATGGTGAACTGTGGCTTACTGGTAATAATACTCGGAGTTTAGGCGGGGAAATAACAATCTTGATGGAAACTTCAGTGAATGAGTTCCATCAAATAACAGATGGTGAGTAGAACTGGTTCGATTGCCTGCATAGTAACAACATATTATTGCCGTTTACACTAACCACCTTGATCCATTCACCAATTAACTTAGTAATTAAGTCAGTCAATCAGATCACTGTGTTAAAGCAGAATAAAAGTAACTGAAAGAATTGTGAAGAAAGTGAACACAAGTGAGAAGTATTTCTACCAACTATTAGTTGAGCGTTTCACTCAATGGCGTTTCCCCAATACCGTGAGCAGCCTACGAAGTTTCATTCAGCACACAGACACACACATCACATGTGATAATCATGTAGAATCCAAATGTTTCTCTATGCATAGCGATCAATCAAAAACGTCACTCTACTCTGTTTCTCCTCACCACTTGAGCTATGATAAGCAGTGAAGATCAGGTTAACTGTGTACTTTCACAATTACAAGACAAACCAATAGACAAATATGCACTGAATTAAGTAAGGTGTGTGAGACAAGACAGTTGAGTCATTGCTCAAACAGATATGTAATAATGGATGATTTAAGAGCAGTTGAATAGTGCGCAGAAGTAGCTTGTAGTAATCTAACAGTTCATTATTATTATCTGTCCCTTGGGTTCCGAATGGAACATACGGCTTCACTAGCACGTCTCCATTCCACTCTCTTCTCTGCAAACTTTTCAACCCGGCTCCGCGACAGCCCACAAGCTCTCATTTCTTCCTCACACCATCTCCTCCGTGTCACCCTCTCATCGGACATCCAACTCGTCGCTTCCCATCAGGGTTCAACTCGAGTGCATGGCCTGGAGCGTGATGTCCCCAGTCGGCCTTCTAAGTGTATGCCCAATCGAAACAGTCCATTAGGCCATCCATTATTTGTGAAAGGTATAAATATGTTGGTTGGATGAGTTGACTGGGAATCTTTGTCATTTCTGGATATTATCTCATTGATTCATTGTCACATTTAGAAAAACATTCTCATTGATAGCCTTCTACTCATCATGTTCCACAGTTATAAATCCATGTTGTTTAGGTAATGCAAAAATGAAATTCACGTGAACCACAACGACAACACTTAAGATTTTCTCACAGTCGATAGTTGGAATCAAGTGAATAGAGAATTTGCTTCAGTAATAATAAAAATCAATGACAATCCTCGTGGGAGTCTTCAATTGAAGAAAAATATACTCTAGAAAATACTGGACAGTGAAGAGCAGATATTGCAGAGAATTTCGATTCAGTGTAAATCACTTTAACGCATGATTGTCTCAGATTTTACTCCAATTTTCGGTTGAGCACTAAGTTCCAGGCCGGTCTACAGACCGTTGCATATTCCAATACAAACCTGATCGATCGGTTCTCTTACCAAGTAGGAAACATCCCAACGATGCATCCACATGAAAACGAACTCACTCGTATTACAGTATTAATATTACCTACTCAAACTGATTAATGTTATCCACAATCCACCCACCCAGCTGTCAAGCTTATACGCATCCAGATCCTCTTGGTAATCATTTGGGTGACCATACTGTCCCTTGGACAGATGTACGTGGAAAGCGTCTCACCGAAGTCTCCACAACCTTTCACCATCCGGAAAGAACATTCCTTTGATAGACCTGGCTCATGAACTCATAATGCGGATGAATTCACAGAGGTGGCTTTCCTCAGGCTACTGAAATACAGCCAGTTAGAGCTAACGAAACCGGAGTTCCAAACTGAATATGACCCACCTTGGCAGGGTGAGAGAACAACACCTATCTCTTGAGATTGCCTCAAAAATAATGACTACCGAAATTAGGAAGCTGGATATAGTTTACCTTTTCGCTGCACCGCTCCCAGCACACTGGGCAGAAATACTTACGGTCAGCAAAAGCATAGATGCTTTGAAGACCTGAGCCACTAATCTTACGCATATGGATCTCGTCAACAAGAGTTTTTGCCAGGTCAACTTGATAATGTGTTGGTTGATATCCAGCGGGAAGGAGGCTCACTGTCATAAGTAACTAGGCTGGACCTATATCCCCCGGTGCACACAACATCCTCGATTTTCACGAGCCAGCAACACAAATCCAGCATGACTTAACCAAGCCGTTTAGAGCTTCTTCATATTGACAGTGGAGCAGATCTATGCCACATGTAGAGTCGCAGTAACTACTGAAAACAAAACAAATTTACCAGTTATAGAGAGGGGCGATAAATAACTTCAAGGCCAAAGTAGTCAACTAAAACACAATTGAAAGAAGTGATCAATCAAATCGCAGGTCATCAGGAAGAACTATTAAAAACTCGCAGCCCTTGAAGACTGTGCAAATAAAATCACCCAAATTAGGGAAAACATCGTCAAAGTATCTGCCTCAGTTATAAATCTCTAGCCTTATGCTCAAGATCTTAGGACTTTTGGTGTGCGACTAACTACTGACAGCCAAAAATGCTACTAAAACTGTTTAAACACCACTCAAACCAAGTGGAAACGAATAAAAAGAATTTCAAGAAAAGAATAGGCTGAAGTTTTCTACGCAATGCTCATATATTTGCCTGCAAAAGTAGGACAAAAAACAACATACTACTCACAATGTATTCAGTAGTATACGGGGAGTTCACATAAAAAATATCCACGAATATTCTCCAATTTACAATTATTACAGATATGCACAACTCTTGTCTTTAACATTATGAATAGATGCTAAAGCGAGAGGGGAAAAAATGATATTTATCTAATTCGCATGATTTAAACAAGAGAAATACAGGAATTTTAAAACCAATAGAAAATGTATTGAATAAAAACAACTAAACAGAACAACTTTGCTCATTTGTATACATAATTGTGTAATACTTTAAACAAACAAGAGATAAGAAGAAACGAGAAACAAAGACAAATAAACAAAGAAACAAACAAACAAACAAGGAAAGTAACAACAGTTCAACAAAAATGGATTGATAATGACTAATGGAATAGAGAGCGTCGAGGACGAATACGCGGTTGATTTCTAGCTGTCATTGTTGTTGTTGTTGCTGACATCATCTTTGTTGTATTGGACATTCCAGAGGAGGTGAATAAAACACTATTAGACAGATGGATACAAGAAAGATACTTTGGTTCAGTTGTTAAGTCAACATCTTTTTGTATATTCCATTGTAGTTGACGTAGTACAGGTGATAAAGGCATATCTAATGAAGCTTCATCCCATACATGACGTGAATCCTCTCTAGAAGATATTGACGGTAATTTCTGTTTTATTACTGAATTCAACTTTGTTATCGATGATGATGGTGATGATGATGTTGGTGAATTCAATTGACACGGATTGATATTCTCTGAATTATCACATGATAAGAGGTTAGATAATTTATCATAGGATAAATTATCCTGTGTTACCGTTAATGATTGTTCATCACCTCCACCAAACAATTGTTTACGAAAAGCGATACACGCCGAATTACTTTGACTACTCAATGTACAATTATCCAGAATATCACTAAAATTAATCCGAAAAATTATATCTTTAATAATAAGGATAAACTATACTCAAATCTTAGTATTATTCGTTGTATTACACCGTCGTTGATTGGACCGAATTGATCCTATGCATATGCCTCGATATTGCTTATGTTTTAATTACGTACAGTTCCGGTGGGAACAACATCACTCACTGGGAGGCAGGTACATCCAGATGACGAGTCCAAAATAGGACGAAATGCGCATCCTGGACTCCACTGCTAGCCACTACCCATCCTTACTATATATACTCAAATCTATTCAGTCATCATGTACACATTAGTGCACTAGAATGGATAGGTGTTCGAAACTGTAACTCATCGACTGAAAGTCATCTCCATAAATCAATAAGCCAAAAATCCACGTAAGTTATGTTAATATAGTTCAAGATGATCGGTAGAAAGCCTTGTGTAGCCTAGATTTTGTGTTTTTTGACACTCGTCAGTAAGGTATATCTGGAATTTTAAGAGAAATGATATCCCCCTTGTGAAATTCGAACATACATCACACAGTGCTGTAGTTAGTGACGTTACTACTGAGCTATTCAGCGATTGATTGACTTCCTGTAGATATATGGATTAGTTACTGGAGAGCAACTAACTTCATCTTGTCCAATCCTTAGTGGTGACGAAATTCCATCGATCATATATGGTAATGTAGTCACCAGATTGACAGACGAGTGAAAACAAGCAAAATAATCTAGATTCACAGCTTTCTGCCAATCACCTTCAACTATCTAACATCAATCTCGAAGCATGGTGCCCACAAACCGGAAGGTTATTTCTTTTTAGAAAACTTGAACGAGAAAAAGATCTGTTTGTCCACAGAGCCCAGGGAATATCTTCTTCATTTGGATAAGGTAAACTCCCACCTTCGGCATCGGAAGACTGTGGGAAAGGGAGGATTATGTTATTTTTCTTCTTCCCTTCCCCTAAGCAAGGGAAATACTTTATCGTCATCAATTCTCACCCAGCAGACATTTCTGGTATCGTAGAACCTCGAGGGAATAAGCGTTCCCGCCAGTATAGCTCATTGGGTTACCACGACGTCAAGGTAGCAGCTATTGATCGCGTAGTTAAAATAGAGATAGATAGACAAAACTAATATAGTGCCTCTTGCAGAATTGCATCGGTTCAAACTGCCACACTTCACAGTAGTATACAAAGAACAACCGCACAGTGACTAGATAAACAGTTTTGATTCATGGTTAGTAAGGCAATAGATCGTTTTGATTTAGGTGTTTCATTCTAGCCTAACATTTTCATCCCATATACACAGATTTCAGTCTTTCTGTTTCAATAACTCAATCTCTATATATGTCACATTTATCTAGACACGCACACACACACATACAGGACTCGAACTAATAGTCATTGAATTCATTGGCTGATGTTAATACCTCAGTTTGAGTACTCAAAAACTTTTTTTCAAACAACATATCTCATTGAGTTATACACACAAAAGTAGTTTGATTAACGTAGCAGTCTATACAACTTCACAGCTGTAATGATTGACTTAACTTATTCGCTTTAAATATCACCTGTCATCTTCCTACCTATTTTGGATTGATTGGTCACAATTCAAGACTATAACAGTAGGAGATAAAGTGACAAATGTGAATAGGCAATACCATGCATCATCATTCCAGTTTCCAATGTATATATTTATATCACAACGGCGTTATCATGTAATATTATTTCTAAAAGATGAACAAACAGACAAATAATTGAAGACAGAATAGATCAATGCACTTACTTAACACCTGGTAACGGTCGATTGAATACATGCAAAGGTGCGAACGGTGATTGGACAGGCTTTGTAAGAAATGGTAATGTTGAATTATTCACTGGACAAGAAGAAGTGCCAGCGATAACCTTCGATTGCTTATTGTTCAGTTCAAAATTTACTTGATTGGTAGCAACAGTAGAATTGGTTGTTATGGAACAATTACTAACCATGGTAACATTAGTAGTAGTAGTAGTAGTCGTAGGAGTTACACTCGTACTGTAATGAATATTACGCTTTGGTGCATTTAAATATTCAGTTATAAAATGGCTGTCATTTAATGAACAAGATGGAGTGACGTCATCCACTACATTATGACATTTAGGCGATCCAACTCTTAACACCTGTTGAACAATAGAAGTATTCCTGGTGTTCAATTTGAATACAGGCGACTGGAGTGGTGAACAGATAGGAGAGATTACTTTTCTACGTTTACTATAAAAGAGATCAGATTGTGAAAAGTAATAATAATAATAATAACCAACAAGTAAAGATGAATAGGAATATCAACAAAGACAATAATGATGACAATTTGGTTGGTCGTGGCTAGTAGAGGAATCCAGGACGCGCATTTTGGGACTCGTCAACTGGATGTACCTGGACCCGAGTGAGTGATGTTGTTCCTAACCAATTTACCATAATTAACACTCAGGCAATATCGAAGCATTCGCATAGGAGCCCATATGCCAATGGACGTCGAACAACTCGATCGAATAAAACAACATAGAATTACAAGTATATCAATAAATAGTAATAACTACTACCCGTTTTACAAGAAGTGTCTATCGTTCAGCGTGGCATAGTTGATAACGCGCTGGTGTTTGATGCGAAGCGAACGAGGTCCGAGTCTCAGTGGAAACATCACTCACTGAGGTCCAAGTATATCCAGCTGAGTCCCAAATAGGACGAAACGTGTGTCCTGGATTCGTCTGCTAGCCCACAACCAACCAAATTACCATAATTCATACTCAGGCGATATAGAGGAATTCGCATAGAAGCCCATAGGCCAAGAGAGGTCGAACAATTCAATCCAATAAAACAACGGAGAACCAATAGATAGTAACAAAGACAATAAGCATAATAGTAAAAGCGATAACAACAGTTCACAGAGATTGTGTATACTGACAGGGATTCTCATCACAACAATTGAATAATTTTTCACAATTTTAAAAGGATAAATTATCAAACAGGTGTAACCAAAACCTCCATTTGTACACCATATCCGATGGTTTAAGTGAGATGTATAATACGGAACAAGGTAGACAGGCGAATCAATATAGCATCTGGTTCAAGTTACCATACCTCATAGCAGTAGAAATTGTTCTCTGATCCAACGTTTTACTGTCATACCAGATATTGTCATGAGTAAATCACAGGGAAGTGAAGTAATTATTTGTGCATGGATATTTATGATGTACTACTTTGCATTCGTGTAACCTGATTTGTCACTTGATGAGGATGAACGTGTGCTGAACCTGATTGGTTGATTCCCTGTACCTAGTTTTCTCAGAGAGATGTGCAATGGTGCGATTGGTTGATTTCCTTTGTTTTCCTGTAGTACATGGAGTTCACTTCTTTGTGATTGGTTGGCCCATTATTTTGAAAGAATTTATGAAGATCACCTTGATCTGATTCTTTCACTCGTACAAATTGGACTAGAAGGGTACTCTATGTTGATCGATCGATCTGCTCCCACTGTAGGGGTGTGTTATTTGTGACTGCTGATTGGTTAGATTGTACTAAAAAGTAGGATTCTTTTCGTATTATTTGGGTTATCTTGATATAATTGGCTGATCATCCCATTTTCGTTTGCGTCGATAAATCGATTGATTCCTGTAAGTGATTTTTTTCGAATAGACTTATTTATTGAGTCCATATCGATATGGCAAATTATCGCCAATTTACTGTGACACGAAATTCTCAGGCTACTTTTGAGATTGTATGCTGAAGTATTTCAAAGTTGTCCTGGTGAAACGTGTAGTTGTCTCAGTGTACTGAGATGAAAGACTCACCTGTTTTGCCTAAGTATCCTAAGCCTAACTTCTACACTATTCACATGGTGATTCCACCGTAAGCCAGCAATGCCACAAAGACATCTGTGATAAACAAGTGGAATCGAATACACCTGAATTTAAACAATAAAAATGATCATTACCTAGTGCCAATTATTAGTACAAGTATTTTTACCATTAATATCAGTTACTCAGCCCTTCTTTAGGCTTACATTCGCATAGTTGATGTCATATTGTATTGAAATCAATTTTCGTTCCATCAATTTATTTCTCTGAAAGTTCAATTTCTTCCTACTGGAAGGTATGTTAATCTTTTTTTCGATTCATTACTTGACTACTAACAGTTTATAAGTAGTCAACAATCAGATGAGAAACCGAGAAAGAATAAGCAACAAGGAACTTTGGCTGATTGGCAACGAACCAACCAAGAACCTATCACTCAACAAATATACAGAAGGAAGTGGAGATGGACTGGGCATACAGTGAGAAGGCCGACTGGAGACATCACGCTCCAGGCTAGGTGCTCCAGCGGAACCCAAAGGGGAAACGACGAGTTGGGCGTCCGAGGTGAGGGTGACATGGAGACCATGTGTTGAAGAAATCAAAGCTTGTGAACAGTCGTGGTGCCAGGTTAGAAAGACTGCAGAGAAAAGAGTGGAATGGAGAAGTGCTACTGAAGCCTTATATTCCACTAGGAACCCAAGGGAAAATAATAAATACTAATGATAACACTGCAATCAGTGACAGACTTCCTGATGACTGACGTTGAGCGACAAATCCGACAAAGGACGAGTATACTATGCTACAGTTCGCTTTGTTCCACTATAAAGCTGTGAGACATGATCATTGAAAGTAGATGTGAAGAAATTGCAAATCTTTGAGTACAGGTGTCTTGCCAGTATTGCTTGCGCATGGTGAAGTCATCGTATGAACAAAATTAAGGTTAAGCGAAGGGTTCTAAGCAAGGAAGGGAAAAAGGTGATAGGGATATGAGTTGCGCATGCCAACTCACCACTAACTTCAACGCAGAATGTTAGTAGAAGATAGATTAGTTAGGAAGAGAGGTCAATGTCGCCAGATTAAGACGTGGCACACGTTCGTGGAGTCTCTGACTGTTGGTCTAAGCGGTGTAGAGAAATGTAGATTGCTTGTTGGAGGTCTTTGAGCTAATAAGGAATCAATGGTTGGAAACCCCTGGCGACGGCTGGAAATCGGTCAGAATGGTGAAGATGGACCAACTCTATGGCGTTTCATAAGGTTGAAACATCCTCACTAATTTTAAGTTCCACCCTCTGTTATACACTTTTATCTACCTTCATATAACTAATTTTTATCCACTCCTTCTTTGGATGTTGCTGTAAGGTGTGTCAAATTGAACTGATGCATTTCTGTGCAACGTTCTGCATGGATTTCGTCCTTCTGAGTCTTTATCACTCTAATATAAAAGTAACTAGGTTTACAAGTTAGAAAAACAGCAAAAACCAACCTAAAATCAATTAAGAAATCTCCACAAAACCTCCAGATAGACAAAACCACTAATGCTTGAAATAATTGACTAAAAAGCAACAAAATATTTAGTTGCATACAGACACTGCATTGATATGGTTCACTAATTTCAAAGGAAAAAGCAGTAACCAAACTCACCTAGACATTAACAATGCTCCGAATTCCTCACCATCATCTTCTACACATGTGTTATCAGTTGTACTGGAAAGATTTGGAGTAGTTTCATGAAGAAATTCTTCTCTGCCAAGAAACATTGCCTCTTCATCAAATACTTGAGGTGAAATAAGTGTCTCCCGTGAAATTGATGGCAGGAAACCAGAGGAATGTCGAATACGACGACGATTAACAGGTGTATGACCATCTTCAACTTTTTTAGATCTATATGTATATGCTCTGCGTCGAGGAGTAGATTTTAACGGTGAAACTGCTATACTTGTAACCGGTACAAGAGGACTGTTACACTGTACAATCGGCTTTGTGACATGCGTAAGACTAGGTATAACTTCAATTGGATTTGAATTTTTTGAAGTTATCGTTTCATTGGATGGTAATTGTAAACAATTATTGTTTATTTTCACTTTACAACTGGGTGTAACATTGAAAATATCTTTTTCAAAAGAAAAGGGAAGTGTAAAAATACAAAAGTGCAGTTATATCATCATCATCATCATCATCATCAATAATCAGAATTTAAGGCATTTACATTCGAGATCTTAGAATACGCCAAAATATCATAAAAATGGGAAATTAAAAGGTGTGAATATCCTACATCAAATAATCAGCAATTATCATATAAATTTGTAAGGTGGCGTGGGGGCGAAACACCTTAACAAACACTTATACAGTTTAACGCACTAAACAGTGAGTCACATTTATATAAAGTGATTTCAGAGGGTAACAAATGACTGTCCTAACACTACTAGTTGGGAATAGATTAGAATTTATGATCCATTAAACCGGTGAAGGATATCTTCACAAGCAACAAAAGCTCTAGCGATCAAAATGGCATAATTACAACTAGGGAATGAGGAATTTTAGAGTGTTATTGGATACAAGAAAGAGACTGCACAATACACTGCCGATAACAGTGACTATCAGAAGGCGATAAAATGTATATCTATACAACAAATTTGATATGCAAGACAGTAAACTTCTCATTAGGCAATGAATAAACTCCATACCACTGGGAATTAAATCACTAGAAGGACTGAATACTTTACATCAGTTAGGATTAACAATCAGACATTCAGCCACCCAACAGGTTCGTTACTATAGACACAATAATCAGCTCTTGACACCAGATGTGTTTCATGACCCGAAGGTGGCATTTGACCCTATCAATCAAGAGATCTTATGACGGTATCCCTCCCCAAACGGCAACGGGTAAGTCTATCAATATGCGAAAACTCTTTATCTATACAGCTGTCGGCTTGTTACGTCTATCGTAGGGTACCAGTTGGATTGTCTACATCGAATGGAGTCCACCAATGATACACAATCTCCACATTTTCGTTTAATTTGGTCACCAATGTGCCTGTCAAAGTCTCCCTATCCTCATCTATCTCGACAAAGATTCGCCTTGTCACACGAGACTCATTAGCAAGCCGAAAGTACCCAGATGATATAGTCCTGGTAGGTGATGCTGACAAGATCCAGAGTCTTCTAGACACTGAGTGATGATTCAACAGTGTGTGTGTGTGTGTGTCTTAGGGAAGCATTTATCACCACCAAAAACTAAATCATTGCTCCAAGACTGACTGGTGTGCATCCCTGCTTCATTTATCAATAGAGAGTAAAGCGATGCAGCACACTGATCACTTCACTTGGAAAGTGGAATCAACCTTGGTGGGTGAGTGATCGATGAAATCTCTGAGTGCATACAACAACCTTGATTAGCTTTCACCAAATAACGTCGTCTGTGGAGCCAGTGTAATATCCCACTGCCTTTCAAGGGTCGGCTGTACCACCCTGGACATCACTCTCTTCTACTACGTGACTGTCAAACATAGCCATTAAACGTAGACAATATGAGAAGGCTTCATGTTTGCACCATCATAGTCCGTTGGTCGTGAAAATTATATATTCGTAATGTAGGAGGCAGTCAGGTGTAGTTTTGGACACGGGAAGAAAGCCATTCGGTGAGACTGTCAAACCACATCGACTCAGATATCTGTGAGATGTGTTACGCATGTCTAGTCAACCGTCCACCCTGACTCACCATATTGACCAAACGGCCAAAGATGATCGAATTGAAACATGTCATCAGTCGATGAAGCCTTCGACTATTGGTTTTAGTCATGTTTGGAAGATGCAAACTTCCTGATTGGGTGCCATCCCCGTAACAATCAATATTGGTGGTTGAAGACTCTATGTGATACTACTGTGAGTCGATCTCACTGTCACACATAATCTTCATCTTAATCGTCATACTGAATTTCACTACTGTCTCATGTCCTCCTCCTCTCTTTTCATGACTTTCTATCACTTTTGATTACTGTATCGCTGACTTGTCTACCTTTTATCGGTATGCTTTTTATTTTGACGTGCTGATGTGAGACATGAGCACTCGAATCGTTGTGCAGTAATGCCATATCCCATGGTGATGTTGACGAACTGCTCAGCTGGCTAACAAGGTGGGAGGTGACCACAGAGAATAAAGTATCCAAACAAATAGTTGAGTTGGTCGGTATTGACTCGAGAAAAGTAACCGTTTGTTGACCAGATAACACAAGTAGATGATTAATTCCTAATTAAATGAGTATAGACTGTTAGGTTGAAATTCTTTCGAAAAGCGTTATGGGTATTAGAGAGAAATGGCTAGTCTGGAGAGAGATCAATCAAAATGTAGTTTATGTTATCACTTCTATAGCTAGACAGATAAACGGTGGACCAACCAATCAATAGGGTTATTTTAAACAGCAACCTATCTGTATATTAGATATATTTCCTTTTGTTTTGGGGTCTTCGGTCTTTCAACTCCAGTACACACGTTTCTTACACATCCACCGTGTCTTCTTCATTAATTAGTCGGGTTTGAAATCAACTAGGAATGTGTTGAATGTTAGTGGCTGACACTCGATATCCATGTATCGTTAGCGGCCATAGCATATAGCAGTTTTCCAAACCATAACAAAAGCACAAAGTGAACATTCGAAAACTTTTGATATGCTGCATTTCAAACCCTGTAAAATACTAACTGATTTTATATTTACGCTTATGTATAACAGGCATTGAGAGGTGATTGTATCCATTTAAAAATTGCCAACTTATGAAGAAACGTTTCACTAAGCTCTATTCACTTATTAATGCGATTCAGTGTATATATTAGACTGTGTTTTAATAGGATAAAAAAGGATTTTGCAAAATAGTTAGTAAAAGTGAAGAGCATACAGACGAAAATTACAGATATTTGACTATCGATATTTCTGCATAACTTGCATGCGGTGGAACCAGTGAATATCGTGAAGTATAAATGAATAAACGCAAGTGTAAGGTACTTTAAAATATGATTTAGTGGATTGGAATAGTTGGAGAAAACGTAGAAAATGCACAACAACTACATTTAGCCATTATTAAACCGGTTAGAGGATTTTGATCACACGTTTCTTCGCAGCATTGATCATGTCTAACAGAATCATCATGTGAGAAATTCTGAGATCAGGAGAAAGGTAAGTCGATTGATGACTAAAATGACTAGGAAATGTA